CAAGTCCCCATTTAGTTTCTGAGCCCGCAAGTGACATCATTTGCACACAAGCTCCTTGGAAACTGTGTGAGCTAGAAATGTGATCTTTTCAAGCAAAAGAAAGCAAAGACAGACCTTCACTAGGTAAAATATTAAGATTTCACATGTAGAATTATTAGAGCATGACAGGACAGCAGCTTAACCCCAACCATGTTTATCTGAAAACAGCTCCCACTGATTTCTATGGGATCTGTTTCTAAATACCCTTAGAAGCCTTTATTTTAGAAATCTGGAAACAAAACCCTTCGAATTCTCTGGGACTTGCATCTGCTCTGGTGACATCTGACTACATGACTACTACAAAGCCCATTTACTAGGAATTAACCCCTTCCAAACTCAAAGAGTGCTACTTCTCAGTAAACATACTTCAGATCTGACTGTTAGTTGTCAACAACAAAGATGGATTGGCTTCATGAGTCATCCGATCCTAAGCATGTTATATGGAAGGAAGCACCATCAATTTCAAGGAGATGTAGTTCTGGTGGCTGTATAAAGGATGTGACTGCCAGCAACTTACTCAACAGTGAGACTGTTGATGCACTAAGGAGAAGTTATGATGAAAGAGTACAGTTTCCACTTTACATGGCATTTTTCATCAAATTTTTATGGCATGTTTTTAGAATTATTCCACTTTCTGCATGATAGATGTTTTTCTAAGTGCTACTGCACACTGCAGAGAGTGCTAGTTAACAAACAGATCATGTCAGCCTTAGCAAGGGACTGCAGGCTAGAAAAACACAGGACTCTTTTTAAAAAAGCCTCATATATTGTAATTTGTAGCTTCCCACTGCAGTTAATACTGCCGTCCCCTTTACAGATGGCAGTGATTTCAGAGAACACACAGTCTTGGTGTCACTTAGGAAGGGCTCTTAAAACTTCATTGCAGGAGTCTCTTTAACCAGAATGAGGAGCAGTCTAATCTTGGGAGTCTTTTTAAAAAATGCAACATACTCAAAAGGGAAGGGGGAAGTAGGCTAGAATATAAACATTATTTTAGACAGAGTGTTGGATCCGTTTTAGAGCATTTGAGCAAGATCTTTGAGCAAGGCAGTAGAGGAGCAGCTTTGGGGCGGGATTAGTTCTGCAGAGCAGCAGTGCTGTCTGATGTGGCCCCCCACCTCCTGCCCTGCAGTTACTTCACTATCACATTTCCTGGGTTACCCAATCAGCTGTTTTTGCATGTTAGTACAGGCGAAACCAAGTGAGGAAGGGAAGAGTTTGGTAGTGGGGTTGACACAGTGGTTTCCTGTGTGCTGCTTCATGTGACTGTAGAATGTTGCCTGGTACACCTGAAAGCAAGCTTGTATATGACTGAATGCACATATCTTTATTCAGTAATAAAATTGGGAACTCATCAATATGCAGAATTTCTAACTGGCAGTCTTAGCAAGTGTGGGAGGGGGGCCTTTTTTTTCCTTCAAGCTTACCTTCTTCCTTCTGAAATTTCATTTCAGACAAAACAGGTCAAGAGAGCAACCCCCTCACTTGGAAAAGCCTAGAAAAAGTTCTAAATATATAGCTAAATGCATGGTACCAATAGTAACTATTAGGCGCATGTTCTAGGTAGGCCAAAAACAGGGATCCTTTTGTTCTGGTACTGGATATATTTTTAAGACAACTGCTTCCCTTCTATTGAGACTGATCCCACAATTACCATGAGAATTTAAAAAAACCCCACAAAAATGCTCTCAAAACACTCTATGTACTGCCAACACCAGGCTTTTAAAACCGAAGGGAATCTTGTCCACTGCTCAGTCCAGTATTTGTTTTGTTCCCCAGACTAAAATCTGCTGGCCTTCTGTCACTACTTTGTTATGTCCTGTGGCCGAGGCAATAAACTGTTGACTGATTGTTTCTGAGGCCTATAGATAGAGGTTACACAATCAGCTTTCTGAGATACAGTGTTCAGTTGACCCAACCACAGATACAGATAAGTGTATTTGTATCTATCTATCTGTCCATCCATCCACATAGCGTGCCTCGAAATGATAATTATCTTCAAATATAGCAGTTTTTCTCCTTTGGCAAATCTTTAAATAGATCCATGCCAAGCAGACCTTGAAAATGTGGGGTCAGTTTATTGCTATGTCTGCCTCTAGCATGACTATGACAATACAGACAACCCAACTAACTAATCCAGGGTGAGCGCAATCATTTTTTTCCCAACCTGAATGTAGAAATCTTCCTTCTACCTCTCAAGTTGTCGCCCTTAAGCAAATATTACTGCTCAAAAGCTTCCCAGTGACCCTTACATTTTTTTAAAGTACCCTACCAGAAATAACTAGGATGCCAAATGTTTCACCAGGAACTAAACCGCGAGCCCATGCCAACGACCCAGCTAGACTGAGATAAACCTGGCTATCTGCATCATCCTGCCAAGTGCTACAGGTTTGTGTGGGTTTTTAAAAAAAAATATCTCGCCTCTGTTGCGAATGTGAGGGGAAATGGTCACTGCACCCCCTTGATAAACTATACTTTGAAATGCGTGGAGACAAAGGTGGGGAAAAGAGATACAGGTCTCAAGGGGAAATCACTGCAAAATGGGATTCGGAGTCCTCTTTCCATCCCACCTGACACACACACACATGACAGGAGAAAACCCAGGAGAACAGAAACAGCCTTCTTCTAAGCAGAGAAATCTGGCAAGCTGTGTCTCTGCCTGAATGCCTCCTGGAGCGACATCTTCTTCACAATATCATTAGACGTGGGATTTAATTGTATGCAGTGCACTGAAGTTGCCTAATTGTCCCCTTCTAATGGATTGACCTAATTAGTGCCGCTCATCCAGTATCCTTCGTGTTGGCAGACAAAATGGCCAGCCTGGCAGGGAGACTCGTTGGGGGAGCGGAGGAAATGGTCGCCCCCGCTTCTCAGCACAGTTGCTGGGAAGGCCATTTTGCACAACACTGGACAGCAAAAAAATAAAAAAAAATCGACTCAAGCCTCTTGTTCCTTTCTTTTTCTTTCTTGTTCCTTTCTTTTTTTAAAATCTGTCTTTTCTCCTCATAAACTTGAAGGGCTGATTTAAAAACATTGATTTTCCTACCCAGGAGGAAAAGGAGCTGCGATGGTATTGTTAGGATGCGGTTAGCCCAAGCCATTGGGATTTTCTTCCCCAGCTAGTCTTAAAGGCACTGCCATTCACTCATTCACGTGGCGTTGCGAATCTGATGCTGAGACTCAAATCTGCCTCTTTCCTCTCTGCCTCCCCACCCCCACCCCGGCCACTGCCCTGGTTTAAAACCCACGCAATGTCGAACAATGAAGGATCTCCGGGCAAATGGCTTTCCTCAAATGCCGCCCTCCGGGCACGGAATGATTACGATCTCAAGATGCCTGCCTTTGTTCCACCACCGTTGATCGGAGCCTGCCGAAGGGATGCAAGCAGCCTGGCCATGTCCCTTTTTTCCCCACCCTGCTCTCCTACGCATGCGCGGGGCGAAGACAAAGGAATAGGTAATTACAGGAGTGAGTTTCATTCATTTCCCTGCAGTACTACTGCAAAATAAGAGGGAGAGGGTTGTTTCCCCCCCCACCCCTCTCCCTTCCTTCTTACCCACCCAGCATGGCAGAAGGGGCATGTGGGCACGGCTCATCCCTGGGAGCATCCCTTTGAATGCCGCGTAGGAATCTGGGCACCGCATTTCGCGGGAGCCACCCTTTTCTTTGGGGGGGGGAGGAAAGGCGCGCGAGTGGATCCCGCCGCTCCGGAGCAGGGCGTGGAGCCGGCAGCAAAAAAAACCTGCAGAGGCGCCGATTTACACGCGCCCCCACCCCACCCCGTCTGCTCGGGGAGGGGAAGCAGAGTGGTGGGGATGCCGGCGGAGGGGAGGCTCTCCAGGACCACGCGGGGGGGGGATTCAGCCAAGGAGCCCTCTGCCGCATTCCCTCTCCCTTCAGAAAGGCTTCCACAAAGCAGCGGGGCTCGCCTTTTTAAAAGGCATTCTCTCGCCTTGCAGGGTCCGCCCGGCCGTCACAAATTTGGATTTCACCCGGGTGGGGGAGGCTGAAATCGCTACGGGTTTTCCTTCCCTTCTTTCTCTTAAGATCGCACTCGCGCTGGCTCATAAGGCGGCAAGCCCTTTTTTTTTTCTTTAGGATCGCTTCAGCGGGAGCCATCATCACACGGGTTACACGCCAGAAGGGTTTATCACTGGCCCGTTTTATAAAGGGGCTCTCGCCCCTCTCCCCCGCCGTTTTCCGAACACAACCCCGGAGGGGGGCTCCCGTTTTGAATGGCTGATCACCATACACGCGCAGATCGGCTGGAGTTTGGTGCCAACGTGTGCCACAGGTAATGCCGTGGAAAAACCATCCTTGTGCCCCCAAAAAATAATAATAAATAATAATAAAGGCGATGAGTCTGGCTTCATCTTATCTCGCCATGAGCTTCCCCCTCCTCCTCTCGCCCCCTTCCTCCGTGCGATCTTAACATGGATGTATTTTCTCTCTTCCCCCCCCCCACTCCATAAGTATTACACATTAGCGGAGTGTGCGCTTCTCAAGCGCCCTCCGCCCCGATTTCCCCATGCACGCTCTCCATCACGCCATCGCTCCGCTCGAGAGACATATATGTCTACATATACAGTATAGAGATATATCTATAGCTTAAGACGAATCATCCATTCTTCTGGCTTTCGCAGAAACCCCTCCTCGAGGCACACGGGTTCTACGGGCTGGGAATCCCAAGTTCTCGTTCTCCTGTAGCTCACTCTTCTTTTAATACATATATATTAAAAGACGATATATATATATTAAAAGGAGAGCCTATCACGGGGTGCATATCGTCTGGGAAATCTTCTAAGCCAGGCACGTACCCCCGATCCACCCGCACGCCTTCAAGGCGGAGAGACCACGGTGTGGCCAAGGCTCGGGCGACCCGGGTGGGGGGGTGAGGAAGAGTCCGAAAGGCTGCGGGATCGACCCCAAGGTTCGGAGGGCGACGAAGCCGTGGCTCTTACCTTCTTCTCTCTTTTTTTTCCGCTCCTCTCTTTTTGCCCCCAGGGGTGGGGTGGGGTGTTTGGGCGAGCCGGAGGGGGGGCCCACAACGAGAGAGAGGGAGAGAAAGAGAGAGAGAGAGATTTAGAGAGAGAGAAAGAGAAAGAGAGTCCGGGCTTAGCCCTGTTGCCCAAAGGAGTCGCCGACGCTCTCGCTCGCTCGGTCGCTGAGAGTGGAGTGGCGGCTCGGTGGAGCTCGGGCTGATGGGAGCAGCGCCGCTGCTGCTGCTACTGCCGCCGCCGCCGCCGCTGCCGCTGCTGCTGCCTCTGCATTTCTCTCTCCCGCCCGCTCCTCGCCGTGACAGTCGGTGGGCAGTTCAAAAGCCACACGTGCGCGCGCCCGCGCACGCACACACACACTCTCTCACACACACATACACAAAGAGAGAGAGAGTTCTACGTGCGCCCAGGCGGCGAGGGTTGAGCCGTGCGCGCCTCTGCGTGTGCGTATTTTTTTTTCTCCCCCTCCTCTTCCACCTCTTCCTTTTTTTAATACTGTATGTATAGAATATTTATATATATATATACAGTATCTTTCTTGCCCCTCCAACCCACCCATTCCCCAAGCTTATCACTGCCGGAGATGCTCTCGCTCGCCCTTAGGGGGCGTCGTGGGCCAAGCTCTTAAATATAAGCTTTGCCCGTTCCAAGAGGAGTATCGTTTAGGATGGTGCGTAAACATAATCTTGGGAGCTTCCAACCCTCACGTGAAGGGAATCCAGAGGGGGAAAAATGATGATACTAATAAAGACGGATCGCTCCTGGTAGATTTCGGCTCCTTTCTTAAAAGCACTTGTCAAAGTCTTCAGAGAGGTTTTTATTTTATTTTATTTTATTTAACCGCCCCCTATTTCTAACCCCGGTTGGTTGGTTGGTTTTTAAAGTGTGGGGTTGTTCTGGAAGCGCTCCTGGCACGGCCTTTTGTTGCTGGAAGGGGGAATGAGACCCACAGACCCGCCTCCCCCCCCCCCACGCACCCCACACCGCTCTCCTGGTGTGGCTGAAGGAGCGACAACTCAGGGACAGGAACGGCAAAGGCGGATCGCCCAAGCCCATCCCAGCCGGCGGAGGATCCGCGCAAGAAAGCGCAGCGGGGTCGGCAACCAGCGGCCGAGCGTCTCCGTCTCCTAAGCCAAGCCGGGGGGAGGCTCGCCTGCCAGCTCGGTCTTCGTGGGCACGTTTGAAGTGAAGGCGTTCTCCTTCTGGGGACCGAGGAGCTCTTGAGACTCGGAACGACGTGGCCCTGCTGCGTTACTTTTGGGAACTAGGGGAGGCAAGGCTTCTTTTTTCCAAGACAAGAAAGCGCCCGAGCTGGATGCTTCGATTCTTTGCCATACCCGAGAGGTTGCCTAGGCTGCTGCGCCAGCCGCACCCCTCTCCTGCACCCGTGGCTTGCTATTAAATAAAGGTGCCAGATGTTCTACAACCCTGTGATTTCTTTCCCCAGCCTAAATTCCCTCAGAAGAGGCAATCGCTATCTTTTTTTTCAGACCCGGCTAAGATGACTTGGGTTTAGTATTTTACTGAATTAAAAGAGGGAGGGAGCGACCGAAATGGACAGGCGTCTCCTTTCCGATAGTTTTATTTGTAGTTCTGGGGCGCCCTCTGCTCTGTTTCGGGACGTATAACAAGGTCATGGTTTTTATGAATTGAAAGCGGCGCTAAAAATGTACCAATATGTTGCTGCTAGGGGGGAAAAATCTGTATATTATTACGCAACATTATGCTACTACGTGAAAGCGCAGGCTGTTGCGCAAACATGCTTAATTTATCCTAAAACTGATCAAGCAGGTTCTTCTAAGGAATCAATTTAGAACCGTCGTTTCACATATCTGGTGGCTGTCACATGTACGGCACTCAAACAGTCTAAGGCTAAAACTGCTTCTGTTTCTTATATCTGTGCTGTAGATTTAAAATTGTCTACAATGTAGACTCGTTTTCTAAACCGAGGTGTTCTGCTTGCTGTCCTGCATTAAGTAGTTTCACACATGTGCACACAAAGAATATGAGAGGCTGAAGGAGGATTTTAAAAAACAAAACTCAACATGTTTGCTAAGAAGTAACTTTCCACTTTGGTCAATGGGCATGTACTTCCTGGTAAGTATACTTGAGTACTGTATACTTATTTACTTAAAAATCCCACTGTATTCATTAGGGATTACTGCGGGGGAGGAGTGGGCATAGATAAAAAAATATTCGGCTGAAATCATGGGGATTTGTTCCAGTGGTTTCTGTCAGCAGGCTGGGGGAAAGTTTGCCACTTTATATACAGGAGATAAGGCACTTACACAGGAAACAAAATGCCTCTTCATCTCAGAATGGAGAGGATTCATAGCAAGGCTGAAACAAACAAGGTCTCACACAGTAAAATTCCTTTACTCAGAAATATATTCAGGCTTATGGGCATGTATAAACTCTCAGATTTGAATAGTTCCACAAAGATTTACTCGAGCTTCAATAAAAAGATCAATGCAAATAATAATAATAATAATAATAATAATAAGTCAATGTTTTTTATAAATTTGATTGACTGTGCCTGTTGTTTTTGAATGATGATGATGATGATGATGATGATGATGATGATGATGATGATGATGATGATGATACTGTGCTGTCAAGTCAATTCTGACTTATGGAGACCTTTTTTAGGGTTTTCCAAGTACAAAATACTCAGAAGTCATTTACCATTCCCTTCTTCTGGGGTCATCCTGGGACTGTGCAGCGTATCCAGAAACACACAGGATGGCTCTTCTCCCCAGAGGCACAGTGGGCAATAAAACTCCCAATCATGGGCTCCACAGCCAGAGACCTAAACCACCGAGTTTTTCAGCCAGGTGTGGAAAATAATAAGCAGTCAAAAATACATGATATTAGGCTTCCTTCCAAAGATGTGTTATACAAAACCCATTGCCTTAGTGTTCAGTGATATAGAGGCTGCATTAGGAAGATACCTATTTGGTTTACTTTTAATTACAGTATTACTGTTTAAAATACATTCATATGTAAATGCAGCAACACTGCCAAACAAATCATTTCTATTGGAGTGGGTAAACTGTAGGCAAAAAAAAAGAGTGCAATTTAGTTTTATCATAGAAAATAAAAATATGAGGCCAGAATCCTTTTGTTGATTTCTGTGTGTCTAGGTTAAATAGTGTAACTCCCCACAACAGATTGCTGTCAGTCACATTACTAGGCACACTTTTTGCACAATTAATCCTGTGCCGTGTAATATGAGCAATGATTTGCTGTGCTGATTTACACTATTTCACTTGCATCCGCATGAATCACGGTGAGGATTTTGCTATTGGTCATGAGCTATGTCAATAAAGCAGCCTGGTATCTAACAATTTCTTCTGTTACACCGAAGTCCTGCTTGTTCAAATGTATTCCTTCATTTTTATATTTAGCTTATTGCAGAATCCGCCCTGCTACAGTATTCTCCAAAACTCACACATACATAAGTAACTGGCTCTGTTCTCCCAGTGGAGACAACAAGCCCGGCCGGCAGCGTGATTGGAATATAGATCCACTCATTGCTATGGAAACAAGAGACAAAGCCTGCACCAGGATTAAGAAATGCAAATCCACCAGAATGTGATTTGTGCATTCCTATTAATCTGTTCCTACATAGGCTATAAAAGAGCCATCATACACTTATGTAAGACTATATGGCCAGTATGAATTCATAAGATGTTAACTGCAGTATTCAAATGACTGTAAATCAGTGATTTAATTGCATTTATTTATTTATTTTTTAGTTGGTACCAGAGGATGGTTAACTGCCTTGTAAAATCTCTTCAGAAGTGTACTAACATGCATTGTATTGACCTCCTGGACTCATTTTGGAGAGTGTTTATTGCCGAACCCAACTGCTACTTTCCTGCTAATCCATCACACTTTCCCTTTGAAATGTAACCAGTTTCTTGAGCTTGGGCTCAGCTACATCTTTTTTCCATATTGTCTGGGGTCGACGGGGGGGGGGGAGTCTAAAAATAGGAGCTAAATCTGAGGTGAGCCCTACCATTAGGCAGAGTGTGGCAGCCAGCTTGGGCAGCAGCATTTGACTAACAAACAGTTGAGAAATTGTTGCTAATTTTATTGTTACTCTATTTTTGCAGCCAGGGTGGGAAGCCTATGAGGTTCTTCAGCCTCAAATGCCAAAATTACTTGAGTGACCTTGATGCCATCTACCTTGATATGAGGGGAGGCATCTTCTTGCTTTTCCTCACACAGCAAAATGGTTGGTGCAGCTCTCAGTGGATTGCAGTTATTCAGAACTTTATGTAATCATCTACATATTCCAAGGGATGGCCTGGTCAGCAGATCATTTTTAACAGAGATTATATTTTCAGCACCCTTCATGGATTGCTGCCTTGTTGTGGCAAAGGGGCTTGAGTAATTCAGACACCCAAGACGAACAGGTCATAGCCACTCCAATATCTTTGCCAAGAAAACCCCATGAATAGAAATAAAAGGCTAAAAGATATGACGCTGGAAGATGAGCCCCTCAGGTCGGAAGGCGTCCAACATGCTACTGAGGAAGAGTGGGGGACAAGTAGCTCCAGAGCTAATGAAGTGGTTGGGCCACAGCCAAAAGGACTCTCAACTGTGGACACGCCTGGAAGTGAAAGGAAAGTCCGATGCTGCAAAGAAAAATGCTGCATAGGAACCTGGAATGTAAGATCTATGAACCTTGGGAAGCTGGAGGTGGTCAAACAAGAGATGGCAAGAATAAACATCAACATCATCAGCATCAGTGAACTAAAATGGATGGGAAGGGGTGAATTCAGTTCAGACAATTATCATATCTATTATTGTGGGCAAGAATCCCGTAGAAATGAAGTAGCCCTCATAGTCAACAAGAAGAGTGGGAAAAGCTGTACTGGGATACAATCTCAAAAATGATAGAATGATTTCAATATGAATCCAAGACAGACCTTTCAACATCACAGCAATCCAAGTTGATGCACCAACCACTAACCAATTCTAAGAAGACTTACAACACCTTCTAGAACTGACACCAAAGAAAGATGTTCTTCTCATTATAGGGGAATGGAATGCTAAAGAAGGGAATCAAGAGATAAAAGGAACAACAGGCGAGTTTGGCCTTGGAGTTCAAAACTAAGCAGGGCAAAGGCTAATAGAGTTTTGTCAAGAGAACAAGCTGCTCATCACAAACACTCTTTTCCAATAACACAAGGAGCAACTTATAGATGGGCAATACCAAAATCAGATTGATTATATTCTCTGCAGCCAAAGATGGAGAAGCTCTATACAGTCAGCAAAAACAAACCTGGAGCTGATTGTGGCTCTGATCATCAGCTTCTTATAGCAAAACTCAATCTTAAACTGAAGAAAGTAAGAAAAACCCTGGGCTAGTCAGGTATAATCTAGACCAAATCTCTTATGAATACACAGTGGAAGTGAAGAACAGATTTGCTTCTCTCTTGTTAGTTCTTGTTTCATGTTAGATAGCTGGGGAAACAAATCACACAACAAGCCAGAATTCATAAGACAACAATGACCAATGGGAAACAATGAATGAGTTCAAATTCATAAGCCATGAACAAATTAGATTGTGGGTGAATTAGGAAATCATGGCTTGCTAGTAGATGCAGATTAGTACATTGTAACTAGTCATATCTTAACAAAACACCTTATGGTGATATGCAACATGGAATATGCAAAGTGTCTAGTTCACTGTAGTATCTAGTCCTTCTGTTTCCCAGAAGTCATACTTTAAACAAACAAGTGGATGAACACACTGGTATGCTGAATCCATTATAATTTGTTCTTCCCATGGAAACATAAATGCTGGCTTCCATTCCATAATTTATACCAGGGAACAGCAGGCCATCACCAGCTTCTAGGAGCTAGTTTTGCTCTCCCCTGGATTTTGTTAGGTCACACCCAATTCTTTTGCAAAACCAGTAATGCTTGGAAGATCACTTTCTTCTTTCTTAAAAGACAGTTTTAGGCTTAAAACAAGCTTGTCCCCATTCAGAGAGCCTTTAAAAAACTAATCACGTCACTGGAGATGTGCTGCAGGTGTGAAAGTTCATTTTCATGGGTATGCTTTTTTGTTTGTTTTTGTGAGGGAAGACATGGCCCATCTGCATAGAAGCGGGGGCGGGGGGGGACTCCATCTGATCAGAGACCATGCATGACTGGGAGTCCCAACTCTATGAAAAGCCTACAAACACATGTCCCTTCTGTAGGTTAACTGCTCGTAGACGAGCACCCACCAACAGTGGTACAAGCTCATCATTTTGGACATTTTCTCCAATATATGGAAGCAAAACAAAACAGAGCTCTCCCAAGTATTTCCATCTTTGCATCTCAGCCGCTCACTCTTGGACAAGCTACATGGGAGTAATCAGTTGTGATCCGTAAATGGGAGATATTTATGAAGCTCCTGTTGCTTTCAAATGGTAAAGAGTGGAAGATTCATGAACACTTTGGCTCTTGTCTTCTCTGGGAGGACGTCAGTGGGCAGGATCCGTGTGGCTCAGCCCTGCTGAAAATATTGTTGTTGTTTAGTCATTGTGTTCGACTCTTCATGACCCCATGGACCAGAGCACGCCAGGCCCTCCTATCTTCCACTGCCTCCCGGAGTTTTGTCAAATTCATGTTAGTAGCTTCCATGACACTGTCCAACCATCTCATCCTCTGTCGTCCCCTTCTCCTCCTGCCCTCACACTTTCCCAACATCAGGGTCTTTTCCAGGGAGTCTTCTCTTCTCATGAGATGGCCAAAGTATTGGAGCCTCAGCTTCAGGATCTGTCCTTCCAGTGAACACTCAGGGTTGATTTCCTTTAGAATTGATAGGTTTGTTCTCCTTGCAGTCCAGGGGAATCTCAAGAGCCTCCTTAAGCACCACAATTCTAAAGCATCAATTCTTCAGCGGTCAGCTTTCTTTATGGTCCAGCTCTCACTTCCATACATCACTACAGGAAAAACCATAGCTTTGACTATCGGACTTTTGTTGGCAAGGTGATGTCTCTGCTTTTTAAGATGCTGTTGAGGTTTGTCATTGTGACAGCCTCCTCTCACGTCACAAAGGAGGTGTCACGTCACTCTTACATACACACACTTTATTCACGCTGCCACCAACCACTCCTTCATAAGACTCTTCAGACAAATGTATGATTTTAAAAATAAAAACTTGTATTTTATTGATAACAACAGAAGGAATGGTAAATCACTTTATCAACTAAA